CAGGCTGTACAGCATTTGAGAGCACACGGAGCATACCACTCTCGTCCACAATAAGATATTATTCCACTCATTCACTCACTCACCCACACTCCTCTCCACCTCACCTCATGGACGCACAGGAAGTGAGTCTCCTCCCATCTATCCCTCCTCCTCCTCCTCCTCCTCCTCCACTACTCGTCCATTCATGTCCACTGCACAGCAGTCGACGAAGCAGTAGTAGTGCTCGAATGCCATGCGACAGCCAAAGCGACGGACATCCAACACCAATTGATGATGAGCTTCGAATAGACTGGACGACGACGTGGGAGGGTGGGTTATGTGAACCCACAACGCCTCCACCTCCAACAATGCTGACCATGTGCCGCATGCATGTCGCCTTGTTAGGGATGCACAGTGGCAGCACTCTCCCACCCGTACGTGAGGTGGCGTGTGTCGCGTGTCTCAACGCAAACCCGTTTGGAGGCGAGGTTTGACAAATCACTAAGTTGTGAAAGGATGGCGTTTACTGGAGCAAGCATGCTCCGAACCAGCATTTACATTTGCAAATAGTGGGGCAGAATGCTGTTGGAACGGTGATGCAAGCGGATGAATGGAGGGTGTGTAGTGGTGGCAGCTTGGTTTGACTGCCGAGAATGTGCAAGTGGTTAGCTGGTGCCTGATGCAGCCTATTGCATGGCAGAAGGGAGTTTGTGGAGTGGGATAATGGATTGGAAAGGGGGAGAAGGTAGTTGGGACATGGTGAAATAGATGGACACGAAGGTCAGGAGCATTGGGTGGATGTAGTGAGCTGCCTGTCGTGGCTGTAGACGAGAGACGATGCGGTTGTGGAGAACTCAAAGCAATAACGTGAATGTCGCATCGCAGGCATGGAGGTTGGCATCGACTTGAAGAGTTGCGGCCAGCTATGTCGCTCTCTTGTGACGTGCATGGAATGGCATGGTCAAGCCAATGAAGAATTCCATGCCAATTGTGGCTTCCGTGGCATGATACCATCAGAGACATTGAGTCTTTTTTATCTTCAAAGAACTCGGCTACTCCCCTTCATAGAGGTATTTGTAACTGCATTCAATAAAACTCCAACATTCCTCTATCAGTTCATCTTTTGCCGTCTGGTTAAAGCAGGAAAAACATTTTTTTAGAAGTCCCTGAAACGACTCTTTATTTCTGTCTCAATGGGGCAGATTATCATGAAAGAATTTGCTTTTTGCAAATTCCTAAAAATCCCGAACATTTTTCCCTGTTAGAAGGGAATCGCATGATATGAGGTGATTCGCCTTTGAATGCTCCGCTCTCTAGCAATAAAAAGATTTTAAAAAGTCAACGTTAGGCCAATGATGTTTATCTCGAATCAACAAAATAGGATGTTTTCGAGAAGATCATTAAATATTTGATTACACTTTCGTCATAGTCGCTCACAAATTGAGGGTCACCTTGATGATTGAATGCATTCGCTCGGTCCCTGAAAAGCCCTCCACTCAAGTCATGGGAGGATTCACTGACGGTATTTGCAAAATTGCCTTCGATTTGCCTTAGAATGGTTAAATGATTTATAATTTTTTTTTTTGAGCAAAAGGTTTAGCCAGTAGGTGCGGCAGTCTCCAGCCACCCGCTAAGCTGCGCTGGCCATTGCGTGTGCGGTAGCTCGAGCGGCGCCCGCGTTTGGTCGTTTTTTTTTGTTTAGCTTGAGATTACAGAGGCAAGGAAAACACGAATATGTCGTAGAACAGTTAAAAGGACATTTTGCTACCACTTCTTTCCCTCCTTCCCTCCTTTTCACTCCTCCATTCGGTTGGAGAATGGGAAGAAAAAACGAAAATCTCTTATGGGTGCAATACGACAACTCCGCTTTTCCTTCCCTTCTTGTGGCAGTTTCCTTTGTTTCAAGCTTGTTGTGTCTCTGCCTTAATTGGGCTAAGGAAAATTTAACTTGTGAGGGATGTTCACAAGAGGTAGTACATTAAAACAACTTAGCTTTCTTGCCTAAAATTGATGTGATTTCACAACTTCGGAAGGCGCTCTTTAACTCTTTTATCAACATTACAATTTTGAAATGAATACGAGTTTCACGGATATAAACAAGTAGGATTGTTAGATCTTTGGTGTCAAAATCTCAATGGCCTGATGGGGATTAAAAGCCTCCTCTAACACTTCTCCTTAAAATCGGTCTGACCTTCTTGTAATGCTAGTAGTTCCTGTTCCTTCTCTGTGCCTTTATATTTTCGACATTCGCCGCAGCCGAGGTGGAGTTATGGCCAGGAGGTGACATGATGGTGGAGGGGCTGCATAAGGGGAACTAAAACCAGCAAATTCCAAATAAACTTAAAACGTGGTCGACACAGGCACCTTTCGTGTTCAGCATAATAAAAGCAGCAAAGAATTCACTTCAGTCGGGCTGTAATGCTGAAAAAGTAAATTTCCAGTACATTAGGCTTGTAATGTAAGTGAGAGGCATTAATGTCAATTAGGGCTTGATCATGAAGGCTAACGCAAAGAGAGGGAGAGGGAAAGCATTCTCTCTCGGGACTGCAATTTCATCAGCAGTCACCAGTTAAGGCAAGACTACATTTTGTCACTTAAACAAACAAATTGACTTATTTAATTGCAGAATTGTCATGAGTATGCACTTCTGTCAGCAAATAACGC